TCTCAATATATTCTTCTAGCACCGATTCATACTTGCAGCTAGTTGATCGTGGTTTCACCTCACAGCCTCCAGTTGGATAAATTTTAGTGATAGTTTGATGCATTTCATAAAGCTGTCAAATTGTCAGGGTCTCAATATATTCTAGCAGCGATTCATACTTGCAGCTAGTTGATCGTGGTTTCAGTTGACACCCACCTGTTGAATGATTTTCCCGCAATGTGATACCACGTGAAGGTTTGCTTCTTTTCTAAAAGCTGTCGAATGTGAAGCTTTCTTCCAAGTTGTCGTATCTGGTTGAAGTTCTTATTTCAACCATATAAACCAATGTTTCAAATGTTATGAACGAAATGTTTCAACCTTGAAAAAACCTCAACAAATTGTCAGATTGTGATGAATGATTCGAGTGTCACAAATTTCTTTTTTTTAATCAGCATTCTTGATATGATTCTTACTTTCAGCTCGCTTAACTTGCTCTCATCTTTGTCTTCCTTCGATTATTGATGGAATTTTCACGTCCATCAGGTCGCGCTCATTCTACGAAGATACATGGTCTGATCTAGATGAACGTGGTTTCTGGTCCTAGAGCGTATTATAAAGTTATTCGGCCATAGTGATACATTGTCGGTCTTTTAAGTAGGAGCTTTCTCTTTTCCCGTTCTAGCCGAAAGAAAGGCTATGGCTGGCATCATATTGGCTCATAATGTTTCTGGTGGTTTCTTCTTTTGCCCCTCTGACCACGAAGTTGACGCTAACCTGAAAGTAAGTTGAGGCCTATGGAGCCTCATTTTGTTTCATGGTTTTTATTTTGTTTCATTAATTGTTTTGACTTGAAAGAAGAAGAAAACAGGTTGGGTCCATTTCAAATCCAGCAGGTCAGGCTCTATCTTCGAATTTAAAAATATATCATCTATTCAAGTGATGACATGTGGAGGTTTCGAAACTATAGTAGATACAAAGGTAAATAACCTTTCTATTTGCTATAGTTTCGAATAATTAAACATTAAACATATTTGACCGCTTTTTAAAATCCCTGATTTGCCTAGTCGATGTTTTCTCTCGATTTTCTATTTTCCTGTCTTTCTTAAGCTAATGTGCGCAGATTCCTGAAAACAATGTTTTGCTTACTGGGAAGTACATACATGGAAGTAAGCCAAGTCTAAAAATACTTTTTATTTTCAAAATCGGCGAAACTGCTGATTTTATTCGTTAGTTAAATTTAGTTAGTTAATTTTGTTAGTTAAATCTTGAATCAAATATATTTATCGAAACTACATACATTTACAAATCTCGTGGTGTCCCATGGGTATTTATGTCATTCATATCTAATTTGTAGGGCTGTACCGGTGGCCATATTTGGCCGGGGAACCGACAGCCCATTTTCCCCTTATAACCATCCGCCGGTGCTGTGTCGATGTGTCGATGTCGATGTCGAGGTGTCGATGTCAATTGTGGCCTGTAGAAGAAATCGCCTATCAACTCATGGCTTCCATCACATGGCGTCCATTAGGCCTTTTTATCAGTTGGCCTTATTGAATCGATAGAGACCACTTTTTTTCCCGTCCACTGACACATAGAGACACAACAGGTGTCTCTATGAGGCTGTCAGTGGGTAGATTGCTATACATTGCTGCTGTTGAGATCATTAAGTGACGCATCCCTTGCAAAAGCATAACGTAAGTGGAGACGCGATGACTTCCCTTCTTTACCGTCCTTTCTTCTGCCTGTTCCTGTAAAGTGACAGTAATATTATGTGAGAGATATTTTTTTGCGACTGGCTGGCAGGAGTGGCTTTTAAGTAAGACAATGAGGGCCGGCCGTGAACACCCTCACGTAATTTCTATGTCGCTTTGCTTTGGGCACCGGCGTCATAGGCCGATGGCCGATAGTACAACACTGGCGGCCGATACCGGTGTTAGCTGATACATCGATACAACCCAACTAATTTGTAAGGTATGTGATGTTAACTGACCTCCAATCTCCGTCATTCAAATAGTGCGCACTAAGTGCTGTATGGCATACGACATGGGCTCAAGGCCAGACCGAGGGCCATGTTTTTTGTTCATTCTGTTCTACAATGCAACATTCCTTGTATCACGCATTCTGTGGATATGATGTTTACAGGATTCAGAACAATCACCGAACGGTTCTTCCAAAGGCACGTGTGCCTTGACCCTTTCAGACCTGAATTAAAGCCACTATCAGAATAATCTTTTTTGCATTTTTGAGCTCCTTTGCTACTGCAATTTAAATTTGTATGTTTTCTATATCGTTTTTATATTTTGTATAAATTTACCATGTATAATATATATGTAATTACGTAACTGAAGATTACAAAACTGACTGGTGAAAGAATGCCTCTGATGGAATTGAGCCATGGATAATGGCTCCCATTGTATCATAGTGTAATATGAGGCGCAAAGTCATGATAATCCTAAGAAATTACCATAGACGCAATGAAAGTAAGATGTCCATTGGAATGGACGCCACGTCTGAAAGGGTTAAATAGTTGTGGCTTTCCGAGGGAGAGAATAAAACAACTCTGCGGCTGGAGATTCTTCTTTCTCGATAATTTCATCGTGGCAGTGAACAGAGTGGCGGTAGACGTCCGTGGATCGAGGACTGGTGATGAAATGATGAAATTGCCTCTATCGATATTATGTTTAATCGTAGGGGAATATTTATCTGCAATTTCGCCATAGTCTGTCACTTTTTATTCCACTCCGTCTGTCCGCAGTATCCATAGCGACTGGACGACTCGACTCGGTACGCATGTACGGCTTTCCGTCTGAGTCGGGGGCCAGGCTGCGACTAAAGCTTCCACTTCCCTTCCGGTCATAGTGGATGACGGATCCATAGTTGACAACAGGAGAGTGGCTGTTCGCGGCCGCTTCGCTAGGGGTGCTAGGTGTACGCGTGAAATGCCGCATCTGACATCCTACACTTGATACTCTCTTCCCGTCTCCGTGCGAACCATCGAGAACATCGTCTGGTCAGGAGAGTGGCTGTTCGCGGCCGCTTCGCTAGGGGTGTTAGGTGTACGCGTGAAGTGCCGCATCTGACATCCTACACTTGATACTCTCTTCCCGTCTCCGTGCGAACCATCGAGAACATCGTCTGGTCGTCCGAAACTTTTTATATACAGTAGTTTTACACCGTACCAATGACAGCAACTATTGATTCCAAAGTTGGGTGGTTAGGATGCGACGAAGATAATTCAGATCAGTTCTATGGAGATCTGAAGCTGGGCTGGTACTCTCGTTTGTGGATTGCAACTAGTCTTGAAGTTTCCTTTGAGCAGCATGAAGCAGCTTTTGAGCTGAAGTTTACTCCGTGCAGCTTCATATATGTCCATGGCTAAAGATGTCACCATGAGGCTATTTCGTAACGATTCTGAAATGCTGCCAACTTATATTTTTGTGCTCTTTTACACTCGAAGTATTTGATGCATCATGTCATTCCTCTTGTTTTACTTCCATTGTCCGTCCTGCATTGTATGGAGTCTACTAAACATATATATTACCCAGATTCAGAAGATTGTTAAAGATTCACGAGAAGAATAAAATCTAGAACATCCTGCTTACCTTTTCAAAACTCCCAATTCATCGGGGAGGGAGTGATCCATCCATCGCAATAAGATTGCTTGGAGTATCTCCATTTCATCTCCTGCCATCTGCTGGATCCACACTACCGCTTTGCTGAATCCGCAAAACGCTACACGGGAAAATGGATTCCGGACCGGGAGACATTGCACGAACGCTTTCACATTGCTTTCACACGGTTCAAGTGCATCACCCTTCACGTTCTTCTGCCGAAGTCTCACTGTTTTTCCACTGGAAAAAAAAATGCTAATACTCGTATATCCTGATACGGAAAGATGAAGATCCACAAGAAGTGTGAGATTGTAAAAAATAATCATGGTCCAACCGAGCATCTGCGCAATGCACAACAGTTCTCAACGCATCTGCTACTAAATGGTCCGAGCTCCTAACACGTTTCACTTACATTTCGAGTCACGGATAACGGGATAACGAATGGCAACAGGTGTGTCGTCGCGTTCCATCGTTCGTTGCGGGTTAGCTGGGGTCTCATCCGGAGAATATTCCTTAATGTTATTTCTCCAGGAACGAATGAATGAACGAATGCATGAATCCATGTTGATGGCTTCCGAGGAGATGCAAACGCCCACTGCTCACAATTTGTGAAGAGAGTGGAATAAGGATACTTGAACTTCGAGTTGAATCAAGAAAGACAAAAAAGAAATGAAACGAGAAACATTCCTGTGCATGGATTCGATCCTGAGACTGATGAATTCGGCACGAACGTGTTCCCGCTCGGCTATGGGAGAATGGGATTCAACCCACCGATAAAACTGGGCTTTTCTGTTGTTAAGAGGCAGATGGACGAGTCCATTCGTTTTCGAGGGGAAGTCGGATTTTTCGGGCGCCGAGGTCAACCGAAGGTGAATGGGTCCAGATCCGTGACGTTGCAGGGGCTCCGGGAAAAAGCGAAAATCTCACCTCCTACCGCTTTTTCCGAACCAGGAAAAAAGTGTGCGTTCAAGGTCGAATTCAGTGACGTCATCCCCCTGCCTACCTCCCCTTTCCCTTCGGTTCCATGGACTCTTCCACCATCCGACCACCCCTCGTGACAGCGATGAACTCGTCCCTTCCTCGATTCTCGGTTGTATTAAAAGATCCTGGAGAAATCAATTTCGCCAGTCCCTGGTTTTTGCCTTCCAACTCAAGTCGGCTCCTTTGGTTCTTGCCACACTTACAGTATATCGATATCAAGACAGACGTCAACGTCTTATGAGGCTTTGAGAAACGATTGCAGGAACCGTTCGTATTACCTTTCCATAAATGAATCCCGGAATCTCTGCGCGACCTCGACTCACCGTCTCACCACTTCCATCATTTCTTGCCTTTATGGGCGTGTTGAAGATAATTGCATTAAACATGACAGCGTAGGAAATAAATATTGATTTTATTTTGAATTCAGTACTGACATGGGAGATGTAAAAAAAAAAAACATCATGGGCTCGGAGAAAGGATGGCCAACCGATACAACTTTCACGTTGTATCGGTTGGCCCCAACGATCTCTTTCCGAAGATCATTGGGGAAAAGAGAATGAAAAGAAGATACAAAACGAGTATGAAAGGGCCTTGAGCAGAGGGGGAACACAGATGGATCTGCCAGGGAAGCGTCACTCGATGATCGAGGAGTCACCAAGGAGAGCCAGGTCCATCCACCGATTCTCCAAAACACCTGCGAAAGACAACAAAGACGGTAAAAGAAATGCATCTCGAATCCAGGACTGCACAGATAATGATAATTGTCTTGAGGCCATCACATGTACAGAGTGGTCCACAATTGTCTCCCCAAAAGTAAAGCACATTATTCAAGAAGTGTACATCCAATTTCAATTATATATGACTCTAACGAGAGCCAATTCAATATATTTGCATTGTAGAAAGATTCAGCATTCCATAAGAAAATAGAACGAAGTTACACCATAAGAAATTTAAAAAAAGTACCCATATCGTACAACTAAAGCCTGCAAATATCATAATCCCTTCTGAAATTTGCAATTCCATCTTAAGTTTTGATTTATTTGTGGTTTTTCCATGCATCGTGAGGGATTGTCTGGGTCATGGGTCACCTCAGTATCCTGCAAAGACGAACATTGCCATTTGGCCTGATAATTTGAAGAGAGCAAATTTGTGCAGGGAAAATATGGAAATTTCTTCAGTTTGAGTCTACTGTCTCAGTTCCTGATGTAGGCAATTCATGCGAGGTTTCTGAACCTGAAGAGATTCACTGGCGGACCTACTATTGAACACTAATGACTTGGTGGCTTTCAGTTGAAAACTTTGTTTTAGTTCTTATGGAATGCTGCCATTTTTCACAATAAAAATATAAGACTCAAACAATAGCCAATTCAATATATCAGTGAAATCTAATGTATACTTTCTGAGTAAAAAGCTTTTACTTTTGAGGAGATAATTGTGGACCATGCTGTACTTGAAAAAGCCACTTGGGCACTTCTTCAGCTTGGAACAACTTGGGAGCATCTGGGTGATCGAATGTGCTTTCCCCACTTCACGATATTCTGCTCCTGAAGATCTTCCATCTCTGCAGGTAAAAATGAAATGAACATTCAAACTGCAATGCATTACAGATGGCCTTACTGTACAGTACGGCATTTTCAAAATACAATTTTTCCATTCGTGTTCACACATAAACTCATCTGTTTTGCTCCGGTATTCAAAATATCAATAACTGAAATAATGGATGGAGAATAGAATGGAGGTCAAGAACTCATAGATGCGTGGATGTGTGAAAAAAGGAAGAGAGTAACAAGGAAGCAAAGGCTGAAAATGAGTTTGAATAGGTTGAATGGGATTTCACCACTAAAAGCAATGAAACCAAGCCTCTTCCCACCACAATAATGTTCTATTTCTTGCACCACTTTCCCTTATACAATTCCCAAGTCTTCAGATTCATTCAAAATCAACATGTCTGAGAAATTCAGGTTCTAGCATATTGCCAAGTTCCTAGTTAACAAGCTGAATTATAGATACCAGAGTAATCACTACCTGCATTAATTTGAAGTGATTATGGAACATGATAGTCAACATTTGATGGTGAGTTGTGGAATTTGGAATGCCAAAACTGAAGGCTAAAATACTGTCATATTTGAAGACACAGTGAATGGTGAATATTACCTTGCTATGTTTCTAAATTAAGAACTTATTCTTTGACACTTACTCCTGCTTTCTTCCAGCACAAAAGGGCTCCAGCTCATTACAATTTTAAAGTGAGACTGGTTGTATGAACAATTTCCTAATTCATGAATAGGGTGCAGAGGCCCAAGAAAATGGCCAGCAAGATCACCAGATCTGCCACCTCTCAATTTTTACCTGTGGGGACAGTCAAGCCAATCACATATTCAGAAAAAATAAGCATTACTTCATTTGAAGCATTGTGTCATCACAGCTTGTGCAAAAACATTAAACATGAGGTTCACAGACACATTGAGTTTAAATGGATCAGACAACTTAGGAAGTGTGGAATCCAAAATGGTGCTCATATAGAACACCTATTGTGATTCCCCTATGGTAAGATGCTTATGGGACACCTTGTATATCGTCTTCGTATAAAATTGATGGAATGAACCTGAAGTCGGATTCCCAAGTCAATGGGATGAATTTGAACTCCCGAATGCAAGTACACAGCAAATATTATGTGAATAGCGAAACTGCAGTGGGAATCACCATTCAAGATTCATAATACAGGGTCTTTCTAAATTAGGTCGCAGTTTTGAACAATTACTCTCTGAAATGAATAGAGCTGTGAAGATGAAAAAAGTGCATTTCATTACTAAAGACCTGAAATTTTTTCCAATTACATCTTTTCGCAAATGTTCTATGTGGTGTTCTTGTGTAACATGCACAACGTCCCATCTGTACAAGAGTTCCTCCCACACAAGTAAGCACATCAGCATTAACTTTGGCAACAGCTACAATAATTCTTGCTCGCAGTTAAACAATGATTCATGGTAGAGGGGGTTGGTACACTTGATCCTTGATGTAGCCCTCAGGAAAAACTCTGGTGGGGTCAAATTGCTGTCATGCTTACTCATGTGAGGGAGCAACTCTTGTACAGATGGGACATTGTGTTAAAGGAGGACACCACATAGAACATTTATGAAAAGTGAAATGGGAAAAATTTTCATGTCTTAAGTAATAAAATGCACTTTTGTTTTATATTCACAGCTCTACTCATTTCTGAGATATAATTTTTCAAAATTGCGACCTAATTTAGAAAGACCCTGCATATTTTGCTTTTCCATGCCTTTTGACTTTACAAGTGATTTAATCACCTCTTCTTCCATTTCCTATCAGAGGCAACATTTCATACAACTGTTAATCTACAGTTACTTGGCTTAGGATTTCCAGTTCATTTTACTACCTTCATGTTTCACATCACTGTATTCATGTGAGTATTGGGACATCTATGGATCACTGTTGATCCTTATTAGCCATATCATCATAACATCGAATAACCATGTTTCACACCTGACGTCAACTTTAGCAGAGGAGAGTCAACAACTGTTTGTGAAATGGAAATTGAAAACCAAGCAACATAATATATTGCACACAAAGAGCAAAGGGAGAAATTTGCAACCCTTTGTCACTAGCTACCTAAAGAGAACAATAAACCATGTTGTGTGCACATGGTATCACACTGAATAAACTTTCATGACACAAGCAAAAGACTTCTCATTAAGATAGTACTCATAATGCACGAGACTTGCACGTGCCAATGTTAAATGGTTGCTGCTGTAGCAGGCAACTAATATTTTGCATTGTATCAATTTACAGATTTAACGAATTTATACGATTAATCAGAAACAAGCAAAAACTTGTGAAGGTTCCCATATACTGCCCTCACAAAGTCTTGCAACAAGTGCCCATTCATGTCATTATTTCATTATGTCATTCAGTCATTATTTGTCCCTTTCTTTGTCCTAAATTCACCTCAGAATCCATCCCCATACCCATTGTGGTCAGCCAACGTAAAAGTTATTGCATGACAAGAAGCATTCTTTCTCCATGTACCTTGAGGAAAATACTCCTGTCACTGGCTTCTAAAGCCCTTGCCACTTCTTTCATGATACAAAAACTGTACCTACAGCATCAAGAGAAAAGAAAATTTCACCTGATGACTTCTCTTAACCATTCATCTTTAGAGGCAAATTTTGGAGATATGGTAATCTCTAACAGGGTTTTTGCTACTTTGCACAGCTGAGAAAATAAGTTACCTGATGAATTCATTTTTTCTCTTCTGATGCCATAGGTATTGAGAGTTTGTATCATGAAAATAAGTGGCTAGAGTTTGAGGACAACAGGAGTATTTTCTCTATGATGCATAGAGAAAACAAGCATCTGATTGGCATATAAGAAGGGAAATGGACTTGCCAGCAATGGGTATGGGGACAGATTTAAATCATTCCACTGTGAAAAACTAAACCAGATTGATTCTGGGAGAATTTTAAATAAACTATGGCTCAAATCATGACATGAGAGAGTGCTTTGCAAAGGTAACAGATTAAGCTGGATGAGAATATTTCCAAAGATTTCACAGGTGCTGAAAATTTTGATCATGAAAAAGGTGTTGCAAGACTTTTGGAGGGTAGTAAATAAAAACAGAAAAATAAAAGGTCACAAATATGACTTGCATGAACTAGAATATAGCAAAAGAAAACAAAGTCAAAGAGTCAGATAGTGTATGGGTGCATTTCACAGCCAGTATACGACCCCTGAAACTTCAGAAAAATATGAAATTAGAGAGAGGAGTTCAGCAGGCAACTTCACAGCAGTTGAGCTTTCCAGAGCAAAGAAAGTAGCAGAGTTTCTTCCAGGAGCTCCATGAACAGCCTCCTTGCACTTCCACGTCTCTCCTCCCAAATGCTGCTCCTTCCATTCACAGGGCTGCATTGACACCCAGAGATAAACAGAAAAATAGAGATTACACTCAATTATCTTATAAATGTCCAAAACCTTATCCAAGAATGCCCACAAACCCTAAAACGAAGGGTGTCAAATACAAAATTAGCACATTATAGTCCTACTAGTCTCATAGTCAACTTAGTCCTCACATTATAGTCCAACTCAAATTTTCAGTAATCATCTTAAACTTAAAACAAATGCCCTTCATGAACAACAGATTTAGTTCTTGTATAATGATGACAAGATGAAACTGGATTAATTATGCACTGAAATAATGAAAATCAAAGAAAGTATGTCACTGAAGGATACCTTGAAAATAAGCAACTCCTCAACCATAACAGGACTGCTATCATGAATAACACCAGTACTTCCTAAACCCAGTGAATATAAAACTTTACTGGATACATGCTCCCATCTGCTCTTGGAACTCCTACACTGGGAAACCCATGTTAGAAACTCCTGCTAACCAAAAAAAATTGCCACTAGTCCTTCCTGCACTCTTTTATTAGACTTCATCAGCAACTTCTGATTTGCACACATTATAAGGAAGCTTATGGATTGCTAGAGTATACAATTGGTCACATTGCTGGACCCTCCACCAGTTTGAAGATTGACATCTATTTGTGGACAATTTGGCAATTTCAGCATTCCAAATAAACCTATTCATATTTTTGACAGCTGGATTCAACTGATTCCAGTGCATTAAACCACAGAGTATCTAAGATGGCAGACGATGCCAAATCATTCAAAAGATGGTGCCTCTATCCACAGTCAAACCTGCCACCACAAAAAATATTTTAAAGGTTGGGATATATTTTTTGTGCAGGAGGGGTGGCTGGTAATGTGGCAGGTGACCTGATGTTGGTTTGCAATCAAGTCTGGTATTTATTTCCTAGTGCAAGTGCCAGTGTGCTTGGGAAGGGGGGCTCAAGCACATAGCACTCCTGCTTCAGAATGTGGGATGTTAAAAGATCACCAGGAATAAAGGACAAACCCAGGTAAGTATCTCCCTGGAGTAACTGCAGGGACTAAATAGAGTCTCTCAATGTTATTTGCATGAGCTCACATTAAGAGGGGGAGTGAAAGGGTTTAGATTAGCTGTATTCAAACTGAGGCCCATGGGCTGAATGTGGCCTGTGAAGACTAAATGTATTTCACTGTGAAAAGTAACCCACAATGAACAATATAACCCTGACTGAATGTTTACTAAAACTTTTTGGGCCACGGTCCACGAAGGATGCGACCATATGTGGGCCTGTGAGCTGCAAGTAAAAATTTTTTCAAGTACCACTTGTTTAGAGCAGGTGGAATAGCTAATGTTACTGAGTCATGGTGCTGTTATGAGCCAAGAGCATCTTACACCTGGTACCTGAATATATCTTTTTCATGCCACAGGATGCCATAAAAGGCAAAAGTGTCTCTGGATGTCCCTAGTTAAAACCATACAGCCCACCTATAATTCCATGTTTCTTGTTTAATCCTTAGAGTCCAAGCCATTTTTACTTTCTGACAAGCAAAATCAAGAATTATGCAATCAATTCATAACACTATTGCAACTTCATTGAAAAAAAAATGAAATGACCAGATTCTGTAGAATTGAATGCCATCATTTTTTACTCTAAATTTGATATAATTCCCTTCTATTGAATCTAATCTTAAACTTCTTGCAAAAATTATACCTCACCAACATAGAATAACTCCAGTTATTCCCATTTTAAGCCTTGAAAATGTATTTGTTTTAAAAACGCAATAACCACCACAGAGTCACTCATGAATGAACTCCTCCTAACCTTGATCAGTTCTATGATCACATGGACAAACTTGGATATAAGAGAAAGATGAAAAACATACTTAAAATAAAAAAAGTATGATTTTTCAATAGCCCCAGGTGCTTTAGGTTCATGATTAAAATTAATTTAGCTCTGCCAGTGTCATATGTTATGTGCAGAATGCTATGCAAGAAATCATTTTATCGATCATAATCCTGAAAGTTGAATCATCTTATTGCCACTGATTTGAACCTTGAACCTGAACACTTCAGGAATTTTTTACAACTGAATTATACTGAACTTGAACTGAACCTGACAACTTGAGACTGTTTAACATTCCATGCACTAGACCTGAACTTATCTTCAAATTGCTTTTTGTCCCAGCTCTCTAGAAGTTGCTTTAACACTTTGTCTAAGTGCAACATGTGGTGTGCTTTTTGATAGCCCAGCAGCTGGCTCAAAATCATAATTTGACAGCAAAAGTGGAGCAAATGGTGCACTTTTCAAGATTCAGTTCAAGCTCAGTTCTAAAAAATCCTGAAGTGTTAAAGCAACTTCTAGAGAGCAGAGGGACAATGCAATTTTAAGATGAGTTCAGGTTCAGTTCATGGAGTGTGAAACAGTCTCAAGGAGTCTTTTCAAGTTTAGTTCAAGCTCAGTATAATTCAGTTTTACAAAAAACTGAATGGCAACAAGATGATTCAACTTTCAGGNCTATCTTTAAGAAGAAACTAGATGCTTTCATGGACAGGCAAAAAGGTGGGGGGCAATGTTGACGTTAGGTACTAGACAATAAGCAACTAGGATAGTCAAATAACAAAAACAAAAAAAACAAAAAATTCAAAAAGATATAACTTTAAGAGGGTTAGGTCTGCCCTAAAATTAAGGAACGCTCGACCTCGACACGTGATATCGCTTTTTGATAGCCCAGCAGCTGGCTCAAAATCATAATTTGACAGCAAAATTGGAGCAAATGGTGCACTTTTCAAGATTCAGTTCAAGCTCAGTTCTAAAAAATCCTGAAGTGTTAAAGCAACTTCTAGAGAGCAGAGGGGCAATGCAATTTTAAGATGAGTTCAGGTTCAGTTCATGGAGTGTGAAACAGTCTCAAGGAGTCTTTTCAAGTTTAGTTCAAGCTCAGTATAATTCAGTTTTACAAAAAACTGAATGGCAACAGGATGATTCAACTTTCAGGATTATGGTGAATAAAATGAATTCTTCAATAGCATTCTGCACAACTTATGCCACTGGTAAAACTAAATGAATTTTAATCGTGAACCAAAAACACCTCAGGGTATTGAAAAATCTGAATTTTTTTATCTTTAATTTTCTCTCTTGATAAATTTTTGGTGGTGCTGTTTGGAATAGGGGAGAATGTTTAGAATAGGGGAATGACTGATTAATGGGTCTGGTGTTGGGACGTCACTGGTACAAAGCATTCCTAAAACATCTGAACTCAGGCAGGATGTGAACCTCCTCAATGACAACACTGATGGATCTCTTTAAGATGTTGCATTTGGGTCCAGATATATTTAATGGCTCCATTTTTACCTAGTCTTTCTTGATCCAACTGGTGAATGAGCTGCAGTAGTTGTTGATAACAATGGCTCCATGCCTGGAAGGACAGAGACAAAACTTAGCAGAAAGTGATAATTTGTTAACTCCAAAGGGATGTATATGGTCTCTCTGATGTAGTAAATGTTAGCCCCTTCATGTACGGGTTCAGTAGAACAGATACCAACTGGAACATCATTCGGAGGAAACAGGTCTTGGTAAGGAAGACCACCTACCTCGGGGTACATCCCCGAGAACTTGAGGTTTCAGAACCAACACTGTAGGAGACGAGTAGGACCAGAGTTCTGGTAGAGGTTAGGGACACTTACAATAAGAAACAGTCAACTCACATGACACTCTACTGCATTAACTTTCCCAGTACAGTCAACTACCATTGTAAAAAAACATGGATATAGCGAAAACCTGATTTATAACGAAATTCTAGCCTTTGCCCAGTCAAATGTCCATAGACACCCATATAAGAAAAAAATTGGATATAACAAATTAGTTATAGTGAAATTTTGGTTATAACAAAGGATTTCTTATGTCCCCATTTTTATAACGAAATTCTAGCCTTTGCCCAGGCAAATGTCCATAGACACCCATATAAGAAAAAAATTGGATATAACAAATTAGTTATAGTGAAATTTTGGTTATAACAAAGGATTTCTTATGTCCCCATCAGATAAAAAGAATTTTCCTTCGTGGCAAGTGAAGGTTATTCTAAACCCCTTTTTCCTTTCTTTTTGTTCTTGCCTGGGAATGACGGGTTCAAATTCTTATCTTAATCTTCACCCATATCTGTCCCTTGACTATTAGTTATCACCCACATCTGTCCCACAGGGATTATTAGCCTATCACATTAAAAAGACACCTCCCAAAGTATCCCTGGCCTCCTAAACTTTCAATTGTGTAGAGGACTTTTTGGGTCATTCTGCAATCTGAACTTTGTTTGCTCATTCAGCAGAGTTTTCATGGATTTGTTTGTCAAAGTTCATGTGTTCACTATATCAGCAGCTGTGAAATGAAACATCTGGCCAAGAAGAGGAAATGCATGTCTATTGAACTGAAAATAGACATTCTGCGAGAAGTCAAGAAAGAAAAACTGAAGAAGGGTGAGATTTCTGCAAAGTACGACATCCCACCATCAATGCTACCTTCCATTGTCAGCACAAAAGAACAAATTTGCATGGAATTCTTCAATGCAAGCTTTGCTCCAGGAAGAAAGAAGTTGAGAGGTGCAAAATATGGTGACTGAAGAAACTTTATTTGAGTGGTTCCAGCAAGCATGTGCCTGCAACATCGCCCTTGATGGGAACACAATGTGGCAGAAAGCAGCATAACTGGCGAAGGTATTGGGGATCAATAAATTTGATTGCTCTTCTCTCTCTTCTTTATGGTTGGCTCTCTTGCTTCAAGGACACACATGGTATGGTGTTCGAGAAAGTTTGTGGGGAAGCTGGAAGCGAGCCTGATGAAATTGTCAACAAATGGAAGAGACTCAAAAGGATTATATGCAGCCATTGTCTAGAGGATTTTTTCGACGTCGATGAGACACAAATATTCTTCAATCTCACACCGGAAAAAGCTATGTAGGTAACTCATACTCTGGAAAACATAAACAACTAATCATACAGATTAATTCCTTTGTAATCCCCTAGGCTTTACCTGTGCCTTGATTTAAAAGTGAGTGAAAACTATGATTTGAAGGTGACATTAGACCTGATCCTCTGCACTTCTCTCCCTTCAGCTATGAGCAAGGAGTACAGGAGCAGCATAGGTGGTAAGAGGAGCAAAGAATGCCTTACAGTGCTCCTGTGCACCAACATGTCAGACACATAAAAACTGCTACCAACTATCATCAACAAGTTCAAGAGGCCTTGTTGCTTCGAGGTATGTGACATCTGCCTGCAAATTACCACCACAGTAAGAAAGCATGGATGATTAAACCTCTTTTCCTGGAATTCCTCTGATGCCTTGATGCAAAACTATCACATACTTTTCCCATGAAAAAGGAACTAGTTACCGGTTCTGTTACCCTCCCCTGAAAAGTAACTCGTTACCTCAAAAGTTACTGAAAAAAGTAATTAGTTACTGTAACGCGTTACTTTTACTTCGTTACCACCCAACACTGCAAACTGGATTTATTATTTATTGAAATAATAAAAATAAGGCTCAGGGCTACATTCCTTTTGACTTTCAATATCTTGATTCAGAGTTGCTTGGTTTCCATGTGGATTTCAGCAAACAAAGTCTTAATCGTTCTCATTTGTACCTTAAAAAAACATTTATAGTCTTTTTTGAGCTAAAACACAACAATAATGTAATTCTTTGAGTTCTTAAACTGTTCTTGAAACATCTGGTACTTCATTTATAAGCCCTGTGTCATTATTGAAATCTTCAATGCAAATGTTTTGTGAACCATGAAGTCAGAGAGACCCTGATTTTGGTGACACAAAATTTCACCCGAACTGGGACTGTTACACTTTTCTATGAATGGCATTTTTATTATAGGATATGAAATACCTTTAACAAACACAAACTTAACCAATAACAAATTAGCTTTGTTCATTATTAATTACTGGGTTACTATTATAAATGTAGATGCAAGTAACTAGGCAATGGGGTAGAGGCACCAGTTTAACCCTTTGACAAGTATGCCTAAAAAAAAAACATTTAGGAAACTGAAACTGTTTACATTTCCCCATTTCTGCAGTGAGAAAACATGTCAAACTAATCTGCAAAAATATACACCCAGGAGATATTTCCAAGAAATAGAATGTTCCCTAAAAGTATCAGCCTATCAGATATTTCTATATCATGCTTCAGGTTTCCACAGCTGTCCAATTTTCTGCATCGAAAAATTCCTCATAAACATCCTCACATAAAAATGTGTATCCTGAGGAAACGACAAAAGTTGGGCTTTCCTTGAAGCCACCTTTCCTCGGACTATGTGACTACAGAGTTTCAGCTTTCTTAATGTTCCTGTTTCATTGGAACAAAAAAAGTGCCACAGAAAACATCTCCCCAAAAATATATGCCCCCAGGGAATGCATCCCAAAAGTGATTTTTCTTGATATCTATACCTCTTTCCCATATGCAATAATTTCCTGCTTTGATGGAAAAAGAAAGGCACCTTGGTCATTGGTTTATCAGTAGAAAAGTTCCATCAGTTCTCTAATAAAGCCAACAATGGCAAATATTGGCGCATCAGGTCAATAAGTTATTGGTAACATCCATATTCAACACGATACAAACTCCATATCTGCAAGTTCACCATTTCGACTTTTTTGTGAGAAAGACTGATGAAGCAGAAGGATCTCTGAATGGAAGAAGAATAATTTGACATATACCCAGTGTTGGGCGCGTTACTTTTGAAAAGTAACTAGTTACAATTACAAGTATGTCATCCAAAAGTAGTTACCAGTAGAATTACTTCTCACCAAAAGTAACTAGTTACAAGTGGAAGTTACTTTTTATGTTACTTTTCTTGAACAAAAATTCCGATCTTTCTACAGCTTCTCCACTTCTTCGACAGAAGCTGGATGCATGGACTAAAAGCGAAATTTACCCATGATTTCGCGAAAATTGAATTATAATCATCACTTAACGGGATAATTACTCATGCTCACTCTTTTCCCTGTGCCTCTTCCCTTTCTATGGGCTACTTAACAGGAATTATACGCGGATAGACAGAATGCACCCTTTAGTTTTAAAAAAGACAATTTTGCCATTGGTGATGGGGAAACCTACCCCAGCCTGCCCCTTTATCATGAGTTCCAGTTAGAAAAATGGAACAAACCGAAGTCACGTTCTCTTGTTTTCTCTTAACCAGACATGGACTGCATGAATCCAGCTCATACAGTGATGGAAAAATAATTTTCACAAACCTTTTACAATGTAATGGTATTTTTCATGGCGCAATCAAAGTGATGAGGGTGTTTCAACCATGAAATATGGGGAAGAGGTATAGATATCAAGAAAAATCACTTTTGGGATGCATTCCCTGGGGGCATATATTTTTGGGGAGATGTTTTCTGTGGCACTTTTTTTGTTCCAATGAAACANGATGAGGGTGTTTCAACCATGAAATATGGGGAATTGGGACTGAGGTGTTCGTGTTAAAAGTTGTACATATTCACTTGCAAATCACTCTTTATTGGGTTAGGCTCTCCACTTCGAAGAGCAAGTGCTAAGCCTAAGTATTAACGGAGTCTAACTAATGATGGATTGTTCTGAGAGTGCTAAAACGGGGCACTTTAAATATGGAGGGGCAGCTAAGGTATACTACCCGCCCGCCGAGCCTAAAGGGATCGGACAAAATTGAGGAGAGAGGTGCCAACGATAAGCATACGAAAGGTTTCCGTGTAGATGCACTATTAGAACCAAAGCAACGCCTATCATTCAGATCTAACGTTAGATCAAAGGTTGTCTGTATGGAGTCAGGACACGATGGAACTCAACTAGAAATGCTTTCTCAAGTTAGATGCTGGAGTTCATGAGACGGAAAGTACCTTGGCCATCAGTAAACATAGAGCACTTCACACAAAAGTTTGCATCGATGCAGTGGCGTATTTTGACTGACGGGTCGGGGTGGGGGGGCAGGGCAATAGAGTGAAACCCCACCTGAGAGATATCAGGAGAGAAAAGTATTACCTCTAAGGTGGGGCTAGACTCTGTCCCAGAGGCGCCTGGGGGCGACTACCCCCCCGTAAAATACGCCACTGCATCGATGGAACTCTATTCGTTTCTGACCTGCACATCGAAATATGTTTGCAGGTACAGCCAAGAAACCTGCACTGAATAAACCATGTTTTCTCAAGGCAATTTCATGTCTAGGAGAGAAAAGTATTACCTCTAAGGTGGGGCTAGACTCTGTCCCAGAGGCGCCTGGGGGCGACTACCCCCCCCCCCGTAAAATACGCCACTGCATCGATGGAACTCTGTATTCGTTTCTGACCTGCACATCGAAATAAGTTTGCAGGTACAGCCAAGAAACCTGCACTGAATAAACCATGTTTTCTCAAGGCAATTTCATGTCTCCGTCTTTCCTCCCAATATTGCATCAATTAGGATGCACGTGGCCATGAAGCGCTGGTTGTTTTCAGCTAATTTAGTAAATCATCCAGAAAAGGAACGCGTTAAAGTAACGCCACATACTTTTCCCATGAAAAAGGAACTAGTTACCGGTTCCGTTACCCTCCCCTGAAAAGTAACTCGTTACCTCAAAAGTTACTGAAAAAAGTCATTAGTTACTGTAACGCGTTACTTTTACTTCGTTACTGCCCAACACTGCAAACTGGATTTATTATTTCTTGAAATAATAAAAATAAGGCTCAGGGCTACATTCCTTTTGACTTTCAATATCTTGATTCTGAGTTGCTTGGTCTCCATGTGGATTTCAGCAAAGTCTTAATCATTCTCATTTGTACCTTAAAAAAACATTTATAGTCTTTTTTGAGCTAAAACACAACAATAATGTAATTCCTTGAGTTCTTAAACTGTTCTTGAAACATCTGGTACTTCATTTATAAGCCCTGAGTCATTATTGAAATCTTCAATGCAAATGTTTTGTGAACCATGAAGTCATAGAGACCCTGATTTTGGTGACACAAAATGTCACCCGAACTGGGACTGTTACACTTTTCTATGAATGGCATTTTTATTATAGGATAGGAACTGGACTTGAGCATAAATACCTTTAACAAACACAAACTTAACCAATAACAAATTAGCTTTGTTCATTATTAATTACTGGGTTACTATTATAAATGTAGATGCAAGTAACTAGGCAATGGGGTAGAGGCACCAGTTTAACCCTTTGACAAGTATGCCTAGATACAGGGTCATCAGAAAAAGACGCTCTAGTTTTCATCACATGTATCTTCTAAAATAATACACATAGAATTTGGAATTATAGCTTACAAAACACAGGATGTTTTGAGTTTTTAATTATGAAAACATATTTTCAATGAGGGAGCCTCCAGCACCCATTATCATCTGCAAGTGTCCACAGAGTTTTTCGATAACCACAAATAATGTTTGCTGATTAATGCTCCCCATGACAGTTCTGATTTCTGCCTTTAATTCTTCAACCAAATGTGAGTTATTCCTGTAGACATTAACCTTTAGAAGTCTCCATAAAAAGCAATCACAGGTATTAAGTTCAGGAGAGCATGGTGTTCATGAACATCCACATCCGAAGCGACCAGAATATCCATTCTTATTGTTCTTCACATTACCAGTGTTTATGAATTTTGTTACTAGCCTGTTTATTGCAGATATGCTTGGAGTGTCCCTACATCAAAATTCACTTTGAAAACCACCCTCCACTTGATGATGCTGCCAGTTTGATAAAACTTTCCACCATAAACACCCGCTGCTCTGTGCTATATGCTAGCTTATTTACTACTGTTTCTCAAAATAAGTATTGTACTATGCAGCTCCAGTGCTAAACTCCCAAGCCTTATGTGTTGAATGATACCACATATAAGGTTGTTGGCAATGTAGTTCAGGAAATATGAGCAATGAAAACTGGAGCGTCTTTTTCTGATGACCCTGTATATATGGGTCGACATCCTCCTGCCCTCCATGTATTCACTATGGGTGATCTAGGCGTAAAAAAACCCACTCCTCAAAAGGGTTAAAGATGGGCATCTATTTGTGGGCTATTTAGCGATTTCAGCATTCCTAATAAACCTATCCATATTCAGCTGGATTCAACTGATTCCAGTGCATTCACCCCAGCATAGAGTATCTAAGATGGCAGACAATGCAAAATCATTCACAAGATGGTGCTCCTACCCTCAGTTGAAATGTCACCACAAAAAAAATCTCTTAGAGGTGAGACTATCTTTGGGGCAGGAGGGGTGATTAGTAATGAGCTTGGCTCCTGTGGCAGGTGACCTTGAATTTGAACCCAATCAAGTCTGGTATTTACTCCTGAGTGCAAGTGCTTGGTAAGGGGGGCCAAAGCACATAACCCTCCTGCTTCAGAGAGCAGGAAGTTAAAATATCACCAGGAATACAGGACAAACACAGGTATCTCCCTGGAGTAACTGCAGGGACTAAATAGTCTCTCTCAAGTTTACTTGTGTTAGCTCACATTAAGAGGGGGAAGTGGAACCTGTAGGCTGCATGTGAACTGTACTTGACTAAACGTACTTCATTGGGAAAAGAAACCTTCAATGAACACTATAACCCTGACTGGATTTGTACTATAATTTCTTTTAAGTGTGGCCCACACAAGTATGGTCACATCCTTATGTGGACCCTGGCTCAAAAAGTCTGAGTACCACTGGTTTAAACGAGCAGGTGGAATAGCTAATGTTCCTGAGTCAGGATGCAGTTATAAGCAAAGAGCCTCTTACATCTGGTACCTGATCATATCTTTCTCAACCATGCCATCAGATGCCATAAAAGGAAAAAGTGTCTCTTGATGTCTCAAGTTAAAACCATACAGCCCAGTTCTAGATTCCATGTTTTTTGTTTAACCCTTTAGTGCTCATGCTATTTTTATTTTCAGGCAAGCAAAATCAAGTATTATTGCAACTTTTTTTGGTAGGAAATGAAAGAACAGATTCTGTAGAATATAATGACATCAAAATTGTTTACATTAGATCTAACAGAAGGGAAATATACCAACTTAATTTTCAACTTCCTGCAAAAATTATACCTCACCCTCATAGAATAACCATAGTCACCTTCACATTTTAAGCTGTGAAAATAAAAAAATAAAAAAACTCAATAACCACCACACAGTCACTCGTGCACAAACTCTTCATGATCTTGATGAGTTCTGTTATCATGTTATCATATGGACAAACTTGGAAATAAAAACAAAAATGAAAAACATGATTTGACAGCAAAAATGCACCATATGGTGTGCTTGGGTATCAAAGGGCTAAAGGAAATCATCTTAAAATTGCAATTTGTCTCTGCTCTCTAGAGAGCAGAGACAAAATGCAATTTTAAGATGAGTTCAGATCTATTTCATACAGCATGAAATAGTCTCAAATTGTCAGGTTTGCTTCAGTTCAAGCTCAGTATAATTCAGTTCTACAAAACCCAGGTGTTCAGATTCAAAGTTCAAATCAGTGGCAATAGGATGATTCAACTTTCAGGATTATGATGAATAAAATGATTTCTTGCATAGCATTCTGCACATAACATATGCCACTGCAGAACTAAATTGATTTTATTCACGAACCTGAAACACCTCAGGGTATTGAAAAATCTGAATTTTTTTCTTTTTAAGTTTCCCTCTTGAGAAACTTATGGTGATGCAGGTGTTTAGAATAGGGGAATGACCGATTAATGGGTCTGGTGTTAGGACGTCACTAGGACAAAGCATTCCCAAAACATCTGAACTCAGGCAGGATGTAGTCCTCTTTAATGACAACACTGAAGGATCTCTTATGGTGTTTCATTTTGGTCCAGATATATTTAATGGTTCCATTTTTCACCTGGTCTTCTTTGATCCAGCTGGTGATTGAACTGCAGTAGTGGCTGGTAACAATGACTCCATGCCTGGAAGTACAGAAAAAAATATTAACAGAAAGTGTGATAATTTGTTAACTCCAACGGGATGCAGACGGTCGCCCTGATGTACTAATTGCTAGCCCCTTCATGTAAGGGTTCAGCAGAACAGATACCAACTGGAACATCATTTGGAGCTTTGTCCAGAACCATTCCTTCTGATGGATCTAGCCCCATGTAGGGGCTCTTGAACTCCAAAGTCTTGGTTGTGACATCCTCTGCTCATCCTGGTCTCAAGACCATCTCCAATCCCTGTGAATATTAGTCAAAGAAACAGTCAACTCACATGACACTCTAATGCATAAACTTTCCCAGTACAGTCAACTTCCATTATAAAAAAAAACATGGATATAGTAAAAACCTGATTTATAACGAAATTCTAGCCTTTGCCCAGTCAAATGTCCATAGACACCCATATTAAAAAAATTTGGATATAACAAAATCAATCAGTTACAGAAAAATTTGGGCTATAACAAAGGATTTATTGTGTCCCCATTAAGAAGGGGATCAGATATAATGATCTTTCCTTCATGGCAAGTGAAGGATTATTTTTTCGAAAGCCCTTTTCCTTTTTTTTTTTCCTGGGAATGAAGGGTTCAAGTTCTCTTAATCCTTCACCCATATCTGTCTTTTGACTATCAGTTATCACCCACATCTGTCCACAGGGATTAGCCTATTGCATTAAAAATACACCTCCCACAGCATCCCTGGCCTCCTAAACTATAAATTGTGCCAAGGACTTTCTGCATTCTGGACTTTCACCACAAATCCATGAAAACTGTGACAAATGAGCTTTATGACACGTATGGTCTTCCTGCGGCAACTTCTTCAATCCAAGGCTTGACTACGGTCGCCAGAACGTCTTGGTACACATTCTGGTTCACTCTCAGGCCTTCTTCAAAGATGTGTGGGGGCATAACATGCCCGTCACTGCTGACGACACTGAAGACCATGACCTGAACAAGAAACTTTGTTTTCATGACTCTGGGCACATCTTTAGGACTCAGAGCCAACCATCTGTTGTTCTGCTTGTTGTGTGCCTGATCCTGGCAAAAGTTTTTCTCGTCAGAAAAAACCACGTTTGGCTCCTGGGGATGCTTGATTTTGTGCAAAAGTTTCTTGCTCTCTTCACGAGACGTTTTGTTTTTGTCGTTTCAGTGAGAAGCTGTCCACTCCGCATCTTGTAGGACTTATAGCGAAGATCTTCATTCAAACAAAGTCTCACAGTGCTCTCAGAATGGCCCAGACGTCAAGAAATCGCACGGATTGAGATGGAGTTGCTGCACATTTGAAATGAAATCGCCACTCCTCACCCTCTGTTCAGCTCAATCTTGTGTCTTTCTCGCGGCCACAGCCTCCACATCAAAGTCTGAATCCATCAGCTGCTTCCTAATTCTCTGGATTGTCCTCAATGGCAACTTCAACTTGTCTACGATGTCATTGTTGGTCATCCCGGCACAGATGGAGTAGACTATCACCTTCCTTCTCCACTCCTCAGGCCACTCATAATCATCCAATCTGTTTGGGGTCTGCATTCTTTGAAGCTTACTGATAACTGAGAATCTTGAATCAATGACATGGGTCAAGAAAATCTTGTATTATCTGGATTTTACCTGTTTAAACTCGTGCCAATTCTATTTGTGCACCCTGTATATTGCAATATTTATTTATTATTTATGTATTTTCATGTATTATAAAATCATTGATATGCAAGTAACTGCATATGTACAGTCATCATCCATGAACATTTTGAAGTACTCCAAAACATTTTCTGCCTCGGATATTTGCTTTTATAGTCCACTGTTCCCCACGAAGAGAAATCTGTCCCTTTTGTTACCTGTCCTTGCCCATGTTTCAGGAGAAGCACACTGATCATCATCATCACTGCTTTCTTCGTCTGTAGAGCAACTGTCCTCGCTGTCAAGTTCACTTCCATCGTCAGTCAGTGTCTGTCCACCTGTCGTCGCCATCAATGTCGATGTCAAATTCACTCGCATCACTGTCATTTTCAACCATTTCTTGGACGTCGTCAACATCTAACCGGCGTTTTTTCCCTGCCATTCTGCCTTCACGGGGGGATCCTAATAATCCACCGATAATACCAGTAATTACTGCTCATAGTAGAAAAGCTTCTGCCATTTATCGGCAGATATTTCAACAAGTCCCATCACAGCAAAATTGACCGCAAATATGCAGCGAATCCATTGTAAACCAGCCAGAAAACACCCGAACGCATATGTGCGGTGAGTCCATTGAGAGATGGCAGGTGCCAGACCGCACATATGCAGTGAGTCCATTTAAGGGGTTAATAAAGAGAGCATCCCTTCCTACACTAAATTGGCATTGAATTACTACTGTTCTCAACCATAGCAAAGTTCTGTTTTAAAATATATTCCTGAAAGTGGGGGAAGGACTAATGATGGGATATATAGTATGATTTGGAAAGAAAATGTATTGTGTTCTGAAATTACGATGATGTATGGCAGTCTTAGTGGACAATGACCTTAATAGTGTGACACTGTGTATGACTGGTCATAGCAATTGGAGCAGGTGACAGCCAAGCAATTTCACACAGATACATAGATGAGTTATGTAGGGGGCCCCTCAAAATGGACTAAACAAATTTACTTTAAGAAAATGACATTGGAAATGGACTTATTGCTTTGCTAAGGTCCTCCAAGGTTAAAGGTCTGACCTTCTGCACAGAAAAGACAAGGCATCAGTCTTAAAAATTATGACAATCAAACACAGAATTCAACAAGAAAACAAAGACCTTTCAACTTATTGAGAAAAAACTAGTGATAACTATCCCAAGGAACAAGAGCCTCTTCAATAGCCCAATGAACTTGGGGAAATGCTGCAGATGCATAGATGAGGATGCCATGAACAAGCAGGTAACACATAACATTGAATCAACATGATTGGATGTGGTTCACCTCAAAAGTTGTTTGGTTCTCCACTGTTGAAAGCCTCCTCTGAAATCTGAACACCTCACCCAGTTGGATGTGTCAACCCTGCACCAAAGGAAGGACCCCATTTCTTTTCAAAAGATGTTGTTCTCATGTGGTGGACAGATATGCAGGCATATCCATTGTCAGGAAAGAAGTGGCCTGAAAGATAACATCAAGTCAAGAAAACACTGACACTCAAGAAATGTAGACATCAGACAGAGAGCTTCTCTTTCTATATTTGACTTTTAAAATTTGAGAGTGAATTATGGAAAATGAGTCTTCATTTGTGGTCTGGTTACTTTTCTGGTATTGTGCAAGAAACAGCACTTGTTCATTTGGACAAGTTGGTTCACTTACACTATTAGTAACTTCACTTAGCAGGGAACAAAGTACAATCATGCTCATCCAGAAAGTACAGTATTATGGAATGCATAAGAAGTTTGATATTATTTTCTTTCTCACTCACTGCCTCACATTACATTTACTTCCAGGAGGATTTTCACATTAAATGTGCCAGTACCTCATTGCATCCACATGATCCCACTCTTAAACCTAATGAAGCACATGTCAAGACATGACTTTTGGTGTTAAGGTCAGGTGTGTGAAAATGAAAGTACTGCTCTTCTGCAGAGGTGATACAAATCACATGATCATCAGCTCTGGCATCTTCCTGGATAAAGAAATAGGAAAGAATCATTTAGTCACAATCACTCCCTTCCCACTTGACTCTGACACTCCAAGTCACAAACTAATTGTGTCTCACGAGAATCAAGACCACACCCTACGATGAGGCATACTTGTTTCTCATGGACACCCTCTTCATGGTCAAAACACAGCAAGAAAAACTGCAATGGTTTTATGAGTCAAAGAAATAACATTTAGAGCATTAATATATTTAATCAAAGAACTACATTTAACAAGGCTCCTGCAGAGTGACAAGATAAAATATTTAAACATTTTTGCACCACCCCCAGATCTCTACAGGGTGCACAAAATGTTCTTGCTAATATTTTTGGTTAAAATGTTGCTGTATTTTAGCTAAATTCCATCGAAATTTTATCAAACATAACAAACACACATGGCAACAATAGAGTATAAAGATTTTTCAAAATGTCCACTGTCAGCTGAGAGGGCTTTTAAACGCTGTGGATAGCTGTCCACGATGGCTATCAGCTGTTTGACCTTAATGTCATCCCAAGTCTTAAGCAAAGGGTGGCACTATTGAAGGTGCTACCCTTTTCCCCAATTCTTCTGGCATTTGGCAGGTTTTCTCCGAATTACTTCACCTCACAATCTTGAAACTTTGGGGCACTGTTAGGGGCACTTGTAAAAAAAATCAAACTTGAAAAAAACAAAAAACCGATTAATTGGTTAAGATGATGTTGTTGTGTTTCTTCAACTGCAAAGGGATAATGCATGGTGAGTTTGTTCCTGCTGGTAAAACAGTAAACCAGCAGTTTTATCTGGAAGTGTTGAAATGTCAGAGACAGTGGGTTCGTCATGTGAGGCCAGAATTGTTCCCCAACAAGTGGATTTTGCACCATGATAATGCACCTTGACACACAGCACTTTCTGATTAAGAGTTTTTTGGCAAAAAATCAATCACAGCACTTTCTGTTTAAGAGTTTTTTGGCAAAAAATCAATCACAGTACTTGAACACCTCCTTACTCACCGAATCTCACTCTGTGTGACTTTTCCTTGTTCCCCAATGTAAAGAAACACATCAAGGGAACACATTTTGAAACTGCAGAAGACACTCAGAAGGTTACAACAGGCATTCTAAACATCTTGCAGGAGATTGACTTCCAGAAGTGCTTCGACAGTTGGAAAAAATGCTGGAATTCATATATAGCTGCAAGGAATTACTTTGAAGGAGATCACCAGTTTACAATAATATAAAATTTATAGCTATTATAAAATATAGTCGTTATTTTGTGGTCAGACCTCATAGACTGCAGTGTGATGTCTTCATTGATTTAATATAAATTGTATTTCATAGGGTCAATAAAAACTTAAGAAAACTGGGAAATGACACTGTTTTGAATCTGTGAATATGAATAAAGCTACACTTCTCCATATGCAAGCTAATTGGATAAAGCATTTATGATAGTGTGCAGAATTTGAAGGGAAACATTTTTGTTAAAAATCCTGTAATATGCCTATGATGCTTGACTTTATGTCCTGTATATATGTGTCACGAAGGACAACTTTGGCAAAAGAAAAAAAGACCACTGGGGAGAGAGCAAATAAAGAAAAAAAGCACTAAGGAGGTTAAATCTGAGATGGGTGCATAAACCTATCCAGACCAGTGTAGATCTATTCTGATTGACCACCATCAATTTTAGCAAGCTTGAGTAGCTCTGAAATAATTAGTCATTCAATAATTATTCTGTTCATTAGTTCACTGACACACAGACCAAATTTTGTGACTGAAATGACTTTAGCATTATAATGCCAATTCAGGTTGGCTGGTGAGTTCAGAACAGTTTGAGCAGAAAATGACCTCCATGCTATAGTCCTCATTCCTACTGCATCTATTATTTTTCACAAATACTCCCACCAGAACATCTGTTCCTCAGCATCTTGTGCAAAGATTGTCCCATTTCCCTGCTTATGAAGTCATGCAGCAATATGATAGTTTCTTGCTCCTTGACAGCCCTATCAGTGGAT